GACCAGGAATAAATAAGAGAGTGACGCATGGGAGTGGCCAAAGACAAGTGACCCAAAGTGTGGGCATGTGTGTGAGAAACTGAGTCGAGCTGGGTCACTTTGCTGCTCACAAAACCAACAATGGTAAACCGAAGCTCATAAACTGGAATATTTAGAAGCTATTAGGAAAAATCTGGACAGAATACTGATTGTGTAGATAAAGCCTTTTTAGCTGTGCTTGGTATATTTTTGTCTGTGGCAAGAGAGAGCTCAATCCATAGCTACACAGTGAAGGGTAAAAGGAATCAATGGTAAATTATGTCTGGAGAGTGTTTACACTACAGGCTCTGCTAGTCCTGACAGAGCAACACACTCACACATGTCCTTCTAGGGAAATAAGAAGGAACTCCTTTTTTTAAAGGACATATTTCTTTTAAAATCCAATAAAATGTTTACAATAAAGAGTGGAAAATTCATAACTGGGGTCTTATTTGGAATAGAAAGAAAAAAAGAGTTTTATCCAGAAATATGTAAGCATTTAGATTGTAAACACTGTTCTTCACCTGGGTTTTCCCCTAGAATAGATTCTACTCAATCGGCCACTTCTTAGAGATTCCAAGCTTTTAAACTATAGAAATAGGAGTAAACTATGTCTTAAATAAGACGTGGAAACAAAGAGATGCCGGATAAGGATCCACTGGGAGTGGGAGGAATAAAAAGTGGAAGTTTTTCTTGAGATTTGGAAAAGACAAGTTTAAAACATATAGCTCAAAGAATGATAAATAACAAGATTGACATCACGATGAGGAAGAAAATGGAAACCTTAAACTGAAATAAATTTGAGACATAACTATTTCCCTATTGGGCCCCTTTGAAGGCCCTTACACTGACCTAAGTATCATATTAATAAAAACACTATTTCTAAAAATAATCTGAGATTATTTAACATTTTTAATACGTTATCCATATTTAGGTGACTAATCATTCGTGTTTTTGAACCAAAACTAACCATACTTTTAAATATCTGGGTAAGCTTCTTTATTAAAAAAACAAAAAAAACAATGCTTTTTCCTTAGATTATGACGTTTTTATTAACCGTTAATTAAAAATGCAAGAAGTAAAACTTTTAAAACTTTTACCAAGTAAACTTAGCCTCACTTCTTCAAAGGTTGATGACGTCACGTAAGGCTTGTTTTTGCGCATTTTATCACCGCGCGCTGATGGGGCCTTTTTGCGGCACCAGATAAACTGGAAACTAAATAGTTCACAGGATAGTTTTTGTCTAGAAGTAAACTATTCTGACTAAAAAACACTAAAGTTATTACTAACAGTAAAAAAAACAAAACTTTAAAAAACAAAAGCGGCCCCTGAATAAACGCGCAGGAGGTTAACAGGTGGTTCAAGTTGACGCAACTACAGCAGTGTTAACAGATAAAAAATAAGGGTTTTTATGAGGAAAATCACTTATTTGAATCACTTTATATTGACTTACTTAATTGTTGTGGTTGTTGTCCTCTCTAAAGTGTCTCCCTGCCAGTGAACCAATTATAATCCCATTGAAGGCTGCGGGTCAGAGCGCGTGGAGGAGTTACTGTGCGAAGAGGAGGAGGAGGAAGGCACGGTCCTGCACGGGGGATGAGGGAGAGGGGATGGAGGCATGGAGCGCTCCACTGTCATTCCGAAACTTAGCGACTGACCCACCCTGCAGAGTTAAAAATAAAGCTGGCGCATCCAATACATGATCTGTGCGCGCAGAGGACGGACATTCCTGACAAGAGCTGGCCTCTCTAAATGGCAGAGACACTTCTGATCTCCTCACTAACCCCCCCTCCTACTACAGCCCAGCCCAGCCCAGCAAGGGCTCTAATCGCGCCCTCACATCAGCCAACCACCCGCCCACCCAGACAGACCCTCACAGAACCTCTGCGCTCCAGGCGCAGGACAAAGAAGAGCAACCTGGGCAGCAGGGAGGTTTCCATTAAAGTTATCAGGCTGGAAACTTTTAAAGGCATAATAATGCTGCTGCAGGTGCATTAATATTCAGTTTCAATTCAATTCAATTTATTTATATAGCGCCAATTCACAACACATGTCATCTCCAGGGACTTGAGTCAAATTGATTCAAAGTTTTCTATCTATGAAAAACCAGTTAATTGCATTGACTCAAATGCAATCCCTCACACTAAGCATGCTTGTAGCGACAGTGGAGAGGAAAAACTCCCTTTTAACAGGAAGAAACTTCCAGCAGAACCAGGCTTAGTGTGAGCGGTCATCTGCTGAGGCCCACTGGGGTTCAAGGAGACAGAAGCAGAGAAACAAAAAGCAGCTGTAAAAGGCGGCCCCGTCCAGGAAACACACAGCCAGGCCGACGAGCTCCGAGCCAGCTCCTATGTAAGAGGATGAAGAGAGCACATCCAGCCAGTCACAGTCAGAGAAACAGGACTACACTGGAAAACAGGCCGATCTCCAGCATCTAAACAAAGGTGTTGATGGCAGCAGCACAGCTGATATTTCTCTCCAGGATGGTGTCAGAATACAACAATACAATAAACTTTCAGAGCAATAGTATTTTTACAAAGTAAAAGCTGGGAAACACATAAATAAAGAAGAATCCAAACAGTCTGAGACCAAAAAAACTATGATTATTAAGATATATTTTTGGAACTGACTTTTCTTTTGAATTTTAATGATCAAACAAGATCAAAGTTCAGGGAATCTTGTAGGAACCTGATGCACATGTTCATATCATAAAAAATACATGCTCAAATGGCCAAAATGTTTTTAAAAAAGCATAAAACCTGCTAAAATGTTATGAGGAAGAGAAAGTTTTTCCAGTATTTTCTTTTCTACAAGACAAATATTCTAGTTTATTTAACTCTAGTTTTTAAGTTTATAAGAAATTAAAAGCTGCGATTCACACATAGGGAAAACATCTTGAAAAACTTTAAGATCCTTTTGATTCAGTCTCAATGTTCCTTTACACTAAAATTGTAACAAATTTTGGTTTTCCTGCAGTAGTTTTGCTGTTTTTACCTTTAACAAACGCCATAGTTTCCAGATAGGTTACAGGAAGATTTTTTTTTTAAAGGTGTCAGTTGAAGAGTTCAAAGAAAAATAAATGTCCCACAACTTCATATATAAAGCACACTATAATTAATTAACCATTATCCCATGGAGAAGCCATGGGATAATGGTTACATTAGATTAGAACAAATGGGCATTCAACCATAACCCTGCAGGAGACTGTTTATCTAGTGTTCTACATGAGACTGTCATGTATTTATATACATCTGGACCAAGGAACAGAGCTCAGAAACAAATACATTTTTTTAAGTAAATAATCTTCCCAAACATAATAATATAAATATATATATATGTATATATTTCACCAATGGCTTGAAATAATCTGGCACTGCTGTTTGGTCTGAAGGCTGGTTATTTGCTAATAGGAGCAGGTGTACCAGATGAGTAGTAATGAGAATGGGGCAGAGCTGAGCAGGTGAGTCCTGTGAGGAATCAGACCAGCATCAGTGCTGAGATCATGACAGGACCCGGTCATACACAGGGAACTGATTGTGGCTTTATCCTCTCTGGTTTTATCTTTCTTCAGTTCTACTGAAGTTTTGGTCAAGACAAGTGAGATTAATAGATAGCTGGAAATATCAGACTGTCTCAGCCCCAAAGCCCCCTTTGAGGTTTCTGCTAGAAAGTACATATTAATTATTATAAAAAGCATGAAACCTGGACAGAATTTTGGTTACAAGTATTTATTTGAGTATAAAAAATGCCAAAATGACAGGTAATAATAGACAATTAGTGACAAAAGGCATAAGAATTATTGCAAAATGACTGTACAGCAGAGTGCCCAAATATAAATAGGTTTGAACAAAGGAATGACACAACACAAAATTTTTGCAGATAAAAATATATATTTTACAACAAATCATATCTGAGTTCCTTCAATTTCTTCCTCTTTGGTTGTTGTGAGACCAGGAAAGCCTCCCAGACCTTCAATTTAAATATTATGGCTTCATATGATGATACAGTTGAACCAACAGCAACCGAGACATCACCAGTCTCCTGCATAGCTTAAAATAAACCTCACCTTCTTTATCTGAGGTGTAGAACAAGCATTCTGCATGCAGCTGTAAAACACAGCATTGTGCTACGCTCTTTAAAGAAGCATTATAATTATACACAGGCTTTATGAACAAAAAATTATTCAGAAAAACTCCTTTCTTCCTTTTTCTGGAGCTTGTCAGCGTATTACAAACCTCACCAGCTGTCTTCTCAGTTTAATGTCCATCTCTTTATTATTACCCTTAATTCATTACATCCAAAACATTTGACACTTTCTGTTTAGTTTCCTACAGAGAGCTGGTTAACATTTCCAGTGCTCTTAGATAAACACATTACATTTGAAAGCTCCTGAGTTTTATTCCTCCAGGAGGTGTTTGCATCTTAGCTGCTGCTTTCTGACACACATGGACCAAACATGCGCTCCAATTTTTCGCTAAAGAACCGCAGTGAAGCGTTTGAAATAAATTTTTAGCTTAAATTAAGGTCAATAATGGAAAACTATGCCTCACTTGAAAATGAAATGACATATTTAAGGAGCAGTTTTCCTTTGGTTATCGTTCTCTGAAACAATGGAGGTGCTTGTATGTGTGTGACCATGCCTATCAATCAATTATCAGCAATAAATAAATTAAACAATGGAACTGCATGTTGTACCCAATGCATATTCAATTCATGCAAATATTATATATTACAATAAAGTCACTTTTTGCTGCAAAGTATAATTAAAACTGTAGCTTTTTGCAAAGTGACGATGGTGCTCACCTCCTTTTGATCGTTAGAAGTGAGCTAGACACCAAAGTCATTAAATAAAGTTTATACTTTGGATGCATCTTTGGTAAAATACAATGTTGATAGCATTTCTATACAAATATAAAAACATTAATATTTTATATTTCTATATATATATATATATATATATATATATATATATATAACAGTGCTTTAGAGAGAAAAAAGACAAAAAAACAAAGCTGCTACAACTTTATGTCATGACAGTGCCTTTTTGAAATAAAGAAGTCAAGTAAATAAGATCCAGGTGCAAATTCACATCTTTAACGCCGCGCTGGAGACAGTTTAGCCAAAGCGCTAACGGCCGGAGGGTGTTATGATGCAAGGAGAGCATCCAGATCAGCGATGACAGCTGCCTGTCTCCTGGCAACCGTCTTCAAGAGCCGCTGAGGAAACGATGGAGAGCCGAGGTCCACCTGTTCATGGAAAACAAAAAGCAGGGTTGACGGCTTCATTCATAAAAGATCATGTTTCTTTTCAAAGTCAGATTTCTGGCAAGTGTTAGATATTTCCTTTTTTTTTTTAGACACAGCTTCAATGCATCCACTCGTTTGTTGTGTCTGACTCAGCAGCTACAGCTTTAAATGTAAACAGTGGCAGCAATTACATGGAGCTAATCCATGAGCCTTAGCTCAGTCAAACTAATTTCATTAATAGTGAGAGTCTTGCCAATAGTGGGCTATAAACTCAATGTGCTGTAGATCAGCACTGCAGGTCAATATTGGATCCTCTGCCTATAAAACCCAAGCTGGGCACTCTTATTTCCTGGTTTTTACTACTTTCCTACTATATCAAATCATAGTTACTTAATAATAAACCCTGTGAAAGATCAACGACTTCAAGATTAGTTCAACCTCATGTTTCCAGGATTATAGCAAATATGAGGAGAAAAAGCAGTATCACTATTTTGAACAACAATTCTATCCCATTACTCTGTGACATAGCAACCACCAATGTTTATGCCTCTTATTGGGATTTAGAGTTATAGACCAGCATAAAGTGGTGCATGATTGTGAAGGAAACACAATGCTGCTGCACGTCTGATTAAGAACTTCTAGGTTAATACTTCCAAAAAAAACTTTAACTGCGATTTCAGGTGTATTTCCACCTGCTTTCCACATCTAGAGTCTGAAATTACTGTTAATTTGTGAATAAAGCTTAAGCTTAGTCAGAGGTGAGCAGGACATTTTAATGGCGTTTCCACAAATGTCCAAGTAAATTAAGCTCTGACTAGAGGAGTGGGTGGCCTGGTGGTTAGAGCAGGGCACTTGTGCTCTGAAATGGTTGCAAGTATCTGGTTTGATCCCCACAGCCTGCACTCTGGGTCCCTGAGCTGTTTCACCCCACAGAGTGATTTTTACTGGTCTTAGCTAAATATGTCCCCTAGTTTGCTAACATATTAGGTACAAGTCAGAGAACGGAGGATCTCATGCTGCCCTAAACCACTGATACTGATACCATGGGAAAGTGCAAAGCTTGGGATTTAATATATAGAATTTTTTAAAGTTTTTTAATTTTTTGTGGCACTAGTGGCTCTTTTTGTTTCGACAGTAGGCTGACAGTAAAGGGGGTATGAGAGAGGGGGAGAGACGTGGACCACAGGTCGGATTCGAACCCGGGTCGACCACATCGAGGCTTGAGACGTCTGTACATGGGTCACGCGTGCTAATCGCTGTGCCACTTGCACATCCGAATTTAATGTATATAACAGTGTTGCACAAGTGTTGATGTGTTTCTCAGCATCTATTTGTTAATTTTGTTTGGCTAAGTAGTGTTAAACTGGACGTTTTGCATGTCTTTGGATTAAATTCCCTAGCAGATGTCCTGGATCTCTCCTATGAGGTTAAATAATTATCTGAACACTTATAAAGAAACAGTACAGTACTTGTCACATTTGCCCGAAGGTTCAAGTAAATTAGGCTTCTACTTTCCTTACTTTCTGCTG